ATATAAACTAGATATAAACCATATCTGGCTAGAGTAACTGCCCCACAGGCATCAGTGACATTACATAAATCATAAACACTATTTTATAGGTCTGTTAACTAGGGCCAAAAGCAAAGACATGATTTTAATGTAGTAAATTCGAAAAAATATTAGTGTCTTCTTCAAAAGCGATTACCTCCAAAAAAAATAAATCTATTAAGATGAATTAAAAAACAAACTATCGAGAACAACATTTACTCAGTTATCGTACTCCACAGGGTATTTCAAACTTTCATCAACATATCAACGTTTTCTTTTTCCTCGTATAATTGACAGATGACAATTTTTATTTTTAATTTAGAAAGAGATATTAAAATGTCAAATAATCTAGCTACAAATTGCTTAAAAATTCATCAAAATCGGTCCACTAAAACACAATATGTAAAACTTTAAAATACATGAAAATTTTAAGGTGCCCATTTTTCTTGCCACTTTGTTAAGCCAAAGAAAACAAAATGTCATTTCATAAAACAATAAATAACTTTGGAAGTTACATTTACAGCTCCCAATGGTTTATTTGTTCATTTATACAACCGAAAAAAACTTTACATCGATGTATGCCCTGTTCTGTCAGCATTAATTAGTCCCAATTTTGAACAAATCCAAACTATCATGTTACTTGTTGTATAAACGCATCCAAAATCACAAATAGAAATAATATTATCCCGAAAATAGGGAAGCGAATTATAAATTTTCCAATTTACTACATAACGTAGAATATTCGTTTGAAATTAGGCTTATTAAATGTTGAGCAATTTTAGATATTATTCATTGGTTGATTTTGACGGTTTACCAGAACATTTCATTTACATTAGCGTTAATATTGGTGCATTTTGTAATTTAAATTGCTACAAAATAATTATGCAGTACTTTATAAACAACTTTAAAATTTGTTTATTTATTTATTTGTAAAATTTTAAAAATTAAAGCTTACATTTTAGTGATTTGTGCATATCTTCGAATATCTTTTAGTAGGTTTTAGATTTCTATTATATTACTGGTTGAATTATCTATAGAAATGTTATTTTATCCTTATTAAAAAACATAATATTGATATCATATACCAATGTATTGTGACAAAATAAAAAATATATATAAATATAAAAAGTAAATCTTGAGCTTTAATATAAGAATATTTTATGAAAAAAAATTTGTATTATTCGTCGCATAGAAATTTGAAAATCGGGTTTCTTTTTCCTCTGAATTTCTGTTTTATCGGTCTATTCTGGTACTACAATAGTCGATCTCTTAAAGGTCTTTTAAGGATTAAAGACCATCTGGCATCTATCTATTCAAAAATCCTTCTTTTAAAAGAGGATTTACAATTGTCAGCAGGTGCATTAAATGCCGTTTATAAAATTTCTTGGTTCTTTTTTTAGGTATTATTAGAAAAACGTGTTTTATTTTATTTATTATGCCTAAAATTTATGTGTATATTCTTATATTTTTATAATTAAAAAAAAATTATTTAAGATTTAATTTGAAAACGCATATTTTCCTTGATTTTATCTAACTTCGTTTGACATTAAGTGTCAAACGGTCAGACAATTTATTTCCATCTGTCAGAAAACGAATTATAAAAATTATAAAAAGTGTATTTATAAAAATATATCTCGTATTCTCGCTTTTTAGTGATATCTAAAGTTGATTTTATTAATAATATTCCGTATGATCGAAAAAAAACAGCGCAAAGTTGACTCGGAAATGATGCTGCTTTTTGAAAAAAGTGTGACAATATGACATGGCCAGATCTATTGTTTTACATCACTTGACGTTTACAGTCATAGGCTACTGGTTAAAATCAAGAAAAATATACGCTTTAAAACTAAATTTTAAATAACTTAAAAACGATTTATTTTAGGTATAGGAACATGTATAGTCAAAAAGTAACGAACTGAAAAGCCTTTTCACTAGTGAAATAAAAAAAGTGGGTTTCTATTGGAAAAAAATGATTTATGATAATTTTTTTATCGCTCAATTCTATGACAGCTGCGGCCATTATTATATAACTTTCGAACAATTTAATTTTTGAAATAGATAGCCATATGTTTTCTCTTTATGGCACAGTGGCTGTGGTAATCACTCAATTTGACGTTTAGGGTATACACATATTTTTGACAGGCAGTTTTTTTTGTTCAAAAATTTTCAATATTTTTTAATTTTTTAATTGTTTAATATCAAAATTCATAAAATTTTACAGAGAATTTAAGTGTGTAATAAAAAATGGGGGTACCCATTTAAAATAAAAAAGTAGCTGTCGACTTCCGGTATTTCCGGGATATTCCGTTTCTAAAAAAACACCAATAGAACTATATTTGCGAAAATTATTAACAGAGTATCCGAATAATGAACCACGTTTTGAACAGATTTTTTTTGAACTAGAAAAAACTTCAAACGGGCGAATTTCCCTTTTGGAAAAAGCAACAGAAAAAAATTCGTACGCCTACAACAATTTAAAAAAAAATGAAGAATAGAGCAGATTGGTTCCCACAAAATCGATCGATATGCGAACGTTCTAATTAATATGGTTATAAGCCTACTGGATATGTCCTGTGTGTCATTAAAATAATTTGTTTATACGCTGAAACGCAATAACAAATCATGCGAATTTCGATAATTAGAGAAAAACAGATATTAATACCATACTATCTCTAATTAGTTATATATGCGTCTGATAGACTTGATAGATTAGGTAAAAATTGTCATAACTGTAATTTTTGCAAACAGTTATATTTATTTTTCAATGTTCTTGTGAAGGTGTTCATTTATTTGGGTGCACCTAAACATAGCGTTTGCAATGATCAAATATCTCTACTTAACAATTAACTACTATTAATTACAGTACTTATAATTCAATATTCTCTATTCATACCGCTCTACTAACATTAATCCGTTCTAATAGAGTAAAAGAAATGCACCGTCGTCATTATACAGACTGTTCGACGCGCTCTATCCCGTCATTTCCGGCAGCTCGAACAATTTTTAATATCCGCAGTGGTACGCCGCCATCTTATAAAGAACACTTCGAGATGATTAGTTGCGGCTTCTGCTCGCCAGAATCGTTATTTTATTCATTTATTCACGAATTAATTCTTCCAAATCATTTTAAACTTAGGCAGGCACCGATATTAAACCGAACTTTGACGATAGATTGAGTTGTAGGAGCAATATTAGTTTAGAAGAACTTTAAAAGAAAGTTTTGCGAGATTAAAAAAGTCTCATGTTTTTTTCCCAAAAATTTGTTAGATCAGGATGTTCGGAGGCCTGTAGGGTTTCTGGATGTTCTTGTCAGTAGAAGTTCTTCTCTTCTGTTTCTTTTACTTATTTGAGATCTAGTCGATCTGTTACCGCGTAAGGTTGCCTCTGTAGTTCTTGGAAGATGGATCACAACAATGCTATAAAAATCGGAGAAGAAATATTGGAATATGTAGCGGAATTCAATTGAGAGAAGAGGCTGCAGCAGAATTTGTGATGTTAGACGCCATTCTTTTGGTTGTAACGAATGAGTCATTAGTTGGTCTGGTTTGGTTTGATCGGTAACACATAACACGCCATAACTCAAGAACCATTTTAGATATTGGAACTTTTTTTTATTTTCAAGATTGGATATCTTACAATATGTTTACATAAGAAAAATTTGATAAGGTTGTTTTTTCCATTCAAAAATTGTAAACAATCCATCCATTTACTTTTAGAGCATAGCAATTTTCAGCAATCGTGTAATTTTTTATTGATAAAGATTTTCACATACTGTCTACAAAGAAAATACAGCAGAAATATTAATAAAGTTCTTGAAAAAACTACAATCTATTATTTCTAATAGATTTCGAGATATCGATTTTTGAATTCAGAGTTCTAATAGCGTGACCACTGTCGAACACCTACTCAATTCCAATTATTTTTACCAAAAATGCAAGTGTTTCTAGCCTGGATTTAAAAAAATTCAAGCTATAGGGAAAATTACAACGACTCATTAATAAATAAACAAATCAAGTATCACGAGACGTAATTAGATCGTGAAGCTGAACGCATGACGTACACCTTTCCCTAGAACTTTAAGTACTGACAGAGGTATTGATTGGGTCGACCCGGTCAATTGCGACCAATCTGCTATATCCCCTTCCACGTCTCTTAGCGATGTGCACAGTTTCTCGGTTTATTTCATACGTTTGGCAACGTTTTTACTGTCCTCTCTTTGTTCAGTACATTATAAATGCATTGTACTGTTTTTACATACGGAAATCTCGACCCAAGACTAACCTTTACCAGCCCTTAGTATAGTATCGACGTATAGCACAGTTGATACTAGTTTTGTATCTTTTGTTAACATTTTAATACGTTTTTTTCATAATTAAACATACATCATAGATGTAGTCGAAACATTTCTCAAAAATATAAATATAAATTCAAACAGCTAAGTTAAGAAAAATATGTGCACTGTTTGTTGATATGGTATCAATTTGGTCTTGGGTGTTATTAGTCTTTGTATTCTTTAGTCATTGCTACAACTATTCTTATACTAAATTATACCTTTGCTATCTTTATTATGTTTATTTCACCTTGTAATATACACCGCCTTGATTCTCCTGCATAATCACACAAATCTAATTACAGAAACACAACCTTCCCCTAATCGCATTTCGTTTGTTACAGATACGACTCCAATTCAACCGCCTCCACTATTGTCACAAAGCCGGTCTCGCTAGGGGACGGTCGACTGCATCCGGACACCGGCAGTCCAATGCACACACCGCCTCGCCGCTAGATGGCGCACCACGAGCGCAAACAAACGGTGACGTAACTGACAGACCGACTAAACAAATCCCGTCGTCTAAATATTTAGTTAAGTGTTGCAGAGGTCTGTTGTTTTGGGATAGACCTGGAGTGGGTAGGGGGAAAACAAGGGGAAGTCGTGGAGACTAGGGTGGTGAGGGGGAGACGTTAGGGGAGAGTGGAGGAAACATGCCGCCGGCCGTTGTGAACGGAGTGAGGTTGATGGTGGCGGTGTTTTGGATAACGCGCGGTTTGGCAGCTTTGCCTCCTGTAATTAGAATAGGTAAGTTTGTAATTATCTTGGTTGATATGACTCTAGTTGAATAAAAAGCAATAAAAACTCAAAAGAAGGATACAAATAAAAAAGCTTTTTACAAAGAATGGCTCTCGGCTGTACCTTGGAAAATGTATTACCAAAGAGGCCAAGAAAAATACCTGGAAGTTATTTTCAAGTTCCTAGAACTTTTGCTAGAGGGAGCAGCTGTTATGGTTAGTAAGAAAGTGCAATTTTTACAAAATTTTGTCTAGGTAAGGGGTAATATGTGTAAGTAGGACATTATAATTTTCAGCAATTTTCGGATTGTTTTTTGAACTATTTTGTCCTATCTGCAAAAATAAGTTGGCGAGGAAAGTTAGATCTGTTTTCCCAAATAAATAAAAAATATTAAAGTTGTATTTTTTTTAAATCGAACACCCTGTATGTTATTACATTTTTAGTTTCTACGATAAAAATAAAGGTAAATTTGATTAACGTTTATCACACTTAAACCGTTTTTGAAAAATATTTTCAATTTTGTGAAATTGCAGTCAAAATTTTAAGGCTTCATTTCTCCAAGGGTATCACAGTTTTTAATACTAAATATTTACTTAAGTTTATCTATTGATCAGTTATTATGTTGCAATAATAAAAATTATACTACCTTATACAGACTGTCTAGAAATTTATTTTAAATATTTACTAGCTTTAAACGGCAATAACTTGTTTAATTTAAACGGAACACCCTGTATATTTTCTGAGAATCAGATGCACAATTTAATTGTCCATCAAATTGTATTACACCATTTTTTACCTATCTCTTCAAATTTTCGTAGAAAATGCATTTTCTTATAATTTAGACCTTATAATATACCCATGGATATTATAAGGTCTAAACACCCTTTTCCCCCACATTTAGATTATTTTTAAAGATCTAACAAATTTTTAAAAAGAACAGATACTAATATTGTCGACATAGTTCGTTTATTTTCCAGTATTCAAACTATATTAATTGACTGTTTGCGTTGATTAATATAATAATTGCTCCAAATACTAAAAAAACTGAATTGTGTATGTGTATTAGACAGTGTGGTAAATAATAACAACTTAAACATTTTATTTCATTTTTTGACGAATGCTTATTTATAACAGCGACGTTAGTAGTATAGCTAGCGGGATACTAGACCACTTTTTACTCGATGGCATGTTTTCCATCAGTATCGATCCATGAGCCGAAGAAGTATTGAACTTGATTAATTTGAAGGTTATTTCAAAAGAAATAATTCTTGTGTGGGTAGTTCTTGTAAATTTACCAGAGGCTGTTGAAAAGGGCCTTAATGTAATTGTTGGGGGTGGGTGAGGGTAGGTTTTTAAGGGTAAGCAGGAGGGTACTGAAATGCTGCTTTGCCAGATCTAAATTAGTAGATTTAGGGAGTTTGTATATATGCCATGTTATAAGAGTTACATAGGTTGGGGTGCTATAGACGAGAAATTTCCTTAAAATTTACAAAAATGTCATGTTGTTGTTGTTGTGTGTGATAACGTTTAAAAGGTTAAAGGTTATCAATGAGAATATTGCATTGTTATTGCATGTGATGATGCATAATAGGTTAAAGGTTATCAATAAGAGTACCTACTAATTTTATATTGTTTACTTTTATGCCTTGTTGTTGTTGTATGTGATAACGTTTAAAAGGTTAAAGATTATCAATAAAAATATTGCGTTGTTATTTTATGTGATGATGCATAATAGGTTAAAGGTTATCAATAAGAGTACTAATTTTATATGGTTTACTTAAAACTAAATGTTGTATTAACCAACCAAGTCTAGACTGGAGATATTAACAGAAAAACACACATAGACAAATCTTTTAAAACAGTTTATTTTTTACAGATGCTAAATATTACAAACTGATATATTTATAATCATAAATTAAAAATGTTCAGATATGTTACGTAAGTGTGCAGCTTGACGATTATCAATGTCCCGTTTTACTGCAGTTTTCACATATTCAGGTACATCAGATTTGTCGGTAAGCCTTTTTAAATCTGAGCCTGTTAATTTCCCAGCATTGTCAAATGCAGATAACAATCTACCACACTCGTAATTGAATGCTGGACATCTTTTAAATTCACGCCATTTACGAATCTCGTCTGATACTTCTTGCGGAAGACTTGCATTTACCATTCTTATTAATTTTTTTTATTAATGAAAATTTTCACGCTCTCTATCTGTCTTAACTATTATGGATACTAAAGTAAAATAATATAATCTTTACATTTTATACAACGATTTGAGAAGAAGGGGTATATATTATTTTTTTCTCGCAGTCAAGATTTCCCTAGTATAAATACTTCTAATTTTTTAATAGGCTTAATAGGCTTAATATATATATATATATATATATATATATATATATATATATATATATATATATATATATATATATATATATATATATATATATATATATATATATATATATATATATATATATATATATATATATATATATATATATATATATATATATATATATATATATATATATATAACACAACACAAACAAACAACACAACACAAACCATGTTTAATGTAGTTTTTATGAAGGTATTTTCTTGTACCACGTTAAGTAAGTCTTATTCTTGACTTTTATAACAGCAATTGTCTAACTTGTATTTCCATTTTAGTGTCCTGAGGAAGGAATAAATAAATTCCGAAAGCTTGACAATTAACAAAGTGTATTAATTCTTTGTCAAACCCTTCCGACTGCAACCCCACTAAATCCCAGATTTTCTTTCTCACTAGTCAGTCGAGACTACTTTCTGCTTATATATATATATATATATATATATATATATATATATATATATATATATATATATATATATATATATATATATATATATATATATATATATATATATATATATATATATATAAATATATTCATTACAATAATATTTATAGGCAAGTTATATAAAAAAAACACTTAGAGCTAGGTTTTTATCATCGCCCTGTTGATCCAAAACCATTGGTGTTGCGTTCTGTATGGGTAAGTTCTTTTTCCTCAACCAATTCAGGATAGTGTATACGCTCACAAATTAATTGATCTATAAGATCTCCAACGTTTACTTGAAAGTCTTCATTCGAATGGTTGAAGAGTAGAACCATCACAATTCCCCTATAATCATGATCGATAACACCAGGTAGAAGAAAATTAAAATGAATAGTTATCATATTAATAATTATAAAAATAAAATTCTACCTCCAACATTGATGCCATTTTTTGAAGCTAATCCTGATCTAGGTGCTATTCTTCCATAGCATCCTGAAGGCAATTCAAATTTCAAACCTGTATTTATGAGCGCCTTATCCCTTGCAGGTACGGTTATACTGTAGACACTCCTTATATCAAATCCTGCAGCTCTAGGAGACCATTTGGTAGGAGTAAAGGCTCCTGGGATTGCTTTTACATATTTCAAGCATTTTCTCTTTTCCATCATCAATATTTCATCACCATCATTTGACTATGTTTTAATCTAATTATTTTAACTATAATTTAGTCTAATTTATAATACGTTCTCCAGCCGTCTTTGACACCGTTTTTTCGATCGTATGTTACTTATATATTTATATTATTATATGCTTTTCTAGTTTCTAGGGATTATTTAGTCTAGTGGATCTAGGCAAAAAAGGCACCCCTTGCTAGAAAAACAATAAATTATACAAACTGCAACTGGATTGCTTCGAAATAGAAAAGTAAATTATTCCGGGCACAGAAAGCAATAGAGTTAAAGGTACATTAAACGCAAATTACTTTTTAATTTCTTCTTCTTTTTTGACTCGAGGACGCGCTCAAGATTGAGGTCACGTATCCGGCCACCGTTTTCCAACCTATTTGAATTTTTGTTTTTCGGTTTTGTTGTTGACCCAGGTTGAGGCGAGTTTCCTTTTTCCATTAATACGAATATAATGGAGAAAAAGAAAAATCGCAAAAGTTTCGTCTTTCCATATAGAGGAAATAAAAAAGATGGGGACATAAATTTGATGAGAGCGAGAGTAAAAGAAAATGGAGTTTTATCTAATTTTTAAAGTTTTTGCTTGAAAGTCTATTTTACTAGTTCGAAAAAGTAGCAAAATAAGCGTTCGGCATGTAACGTTTTATTTAAAACTGGCTAGGTATTTTTACATAAATGAAGAAGGAAATTAAAGATAAAGGATTACACTATATCCGTATTGTAGCAAATTTTTAGACAACTTTTTTATTTTTAAGATTTTGATGGTCAAACATCAACAAAATATTCCTTATGTTTGGACTAAATTTTCTCGAAAGTAAAGACATAATTTAAAATTTCGTTACAATACAAAAATAGATTGAAGTTTTGTGATTACAGTGATATATAATTTATATGGTTTTGTAACAAATTGTTCGCTATTTTATGGCAAGAGCTGAAGCTCTGCAAACCTTAATCAAGCCTTAATCAAAGCAAGTGTGTTTGGAATTTTGGGTGTGGCTTAACATGACAGGATCGGGCCAAGCCTTAGGGTACGAACATAGTGAAAGCAGGTTTCTGCTTTCCGAAAATCCGCATCTCCGAAAAAGCCATATAACAATACACGTGATGCGAAACTTTGCGTATATGCATCACGTGTATATAAACTGTAACAATAAAATAGGTTAATACCTGTTATCCCCCCCGTGGGATACCCTGTTTATAACAATACACGTGATGCTTATACGCAAAGTTGCGAACGATGTCAAGGATAGGTACCCAGACTTAAGTCTTTTGAATGGCAAATCCATTTTGTATTTACAAATCACTTTTATAAAGTGTAAAATGTTCTTTTTTTTCTAAAAAACTAAAGTAACGAGTTTTAGTTAGTCATCTGCTGATGCTGTTGCAAAACGCGCGTCCAGTCTTGAAAAGTAAAGTGTTTTTGGTGTACTGCGTTGAATTAGAGTTTTATCTTACTAACACTGCAGGAAGTACATTTTTTTGACTTAAAAAAGCTAAAAAATATA